CTCCGAACTACTATCTAATCGAATCGGAAGTTGGGTGAAAAGTCTAATCTAATATACTCCTAAAGTAAAAATAAACAGCCAACTAAGTGGTTGGGACTAGAGATGAGACGGTTGCCTAGGGTCGAATCCTCCTAGCTATTGTTGTCATGTAGGGTTAAGGGAATGTGGTGAGTGAGCTCTTTTCTGTGGGCTTTCATGGTTATCCACACACCTCTGAGTACGCATCCCCTAAACTCATGTAAAGTCAAGTCATAGAGAGAAAAAGAAAACACAAATTAGAAGAGAGGGAGTGATGGAATCAATCTTCTTCTCCTTGTTTTCACCTTCATGTTACTCCTTAGGTTGATTGGATCTTCAATTAAGCTCTCCCAATGGTATTTTCCTCTCTAAAAATAACCCAAAACCCTAACTTTCTCACTCTAGGGCGACTCTCTTTTAAAAAGTGCAGCGAGAGGGGTATTTATAGAAAGTTGATGGCGTCAAGGCCTCTAGGGCATGACCCAATGGTCACGGCCGTGACGAGGCCGTGACTAGCTGGAACGTCCCCGAATCGCCCAAAACAACGCGTTTGGACTTCGTTTTTAAGCTCCAAGATTGCGGCCTCCTTCATAAGATCGCGACCGTGATCTTTGTGTCCCGGACGCAATCTTTTTCGTAGTCAAAATGCTCCAGGTCTGTGATTCTACTGGGAAACTTTATGCCTTCTTTTTGGTCTCCTGTTGAAGCTCACGGCTACTGTTCACGGCCGTGACCTGTGGTCGTGACCAATGCATCTTCTCCCCTTCTTGCTCCTATGCTTCCCAATCGTACTCGGATGAACTCCAATCGATTCCCGACCAATCCTGAATGCATATAAGACCTGGAATTTTATCACAAACACTTGGGAAAGCATAAAACACAACATATTGGGGTCGGTTCCTCTATGAAAACCTTCATATCAAGAATACCTATGCCAAAACGAATGTTTTGCCAATAAGAACGTATATAGGCATAAATAACTTAATATGTGGCCTAGACACGATGATTTAACATGAAAATGCCTTGGGAATAGGGGCTAAATAATGCCTATTTAGGTGTTATCAAGGTCCCTACCTTGAACTATACATTCCGATAACCAACATCTGTTATTGTCTCATCTGATTATTATGTACCTTTAAATATGCCTTCAACTATCTCAATGAATACTCCCAAGCCACCAACCACTAATCCATAACCTCTACATAAATCTCACCCATATGATACCTCATCAGATAGGAAGCTGATGGCTAATGCCCATACAGTATCACGAACTATGTCATGCCAATTGTACTATGGAATGTTGTGTGATATCATAGCTCGACCAGTAGAAGCATAGTGAGGCAACTATTCGGATGTTGGTGGACAAAGCAACAAAAATATTACTTACATTGATTAACTACCTTTTTCCCATCCTAATAAAGCGTTGTGAGCCAACTCTTGGGATATTGGTGGACAAAGCAACAAACATATTACTCTATACTGGGATAGAGGTCGAGTTAAGCTTTTGTCCATTTTTCTACGGGTGATATGCTAAACTCATAAGAAGATTCATACATTGATTAACTACCAGCCCTAACAAGCATGATTTTGTTTTTATTTTAAAATCACATATTAACGACACTAATGCCCGTCATGTTATTTCTCTTGTTGGAATTGATGTAATTCTAATAGTCGATACAACCTTCTTTACAGGGGGCATATGTGTCTTATTGAATGAGAGTGGCTCGGTATCTCTTTATTGTATTAATGGGAGGAGATAATTCATATGAAGTGTTCACGCCTAGGAAAACCATATTGTCGATTTCAGCAATCTACAATAGCCTCAATGGTGCACATGTGTTGGAGCTATGGGAGGAGTTGTATCACTTTTCTAGATGGATTAGTGAACTGCGCGTACTGGCTATAGACTTAACTCAATCTTCAGCCAGATAGATCTCATGGGAGGCGCAATGTACCTGACCTTTTTCACAATGCATGGATGAACGTGACTTAGTGAAAGTGGGCTAACTTTTACCAATGTCTAGATCATGCAATCTACAACAAGTAGCTGTTGTTGAAGTTCCTATAAACGAACACAAGACACTTGGAACATATAGGGTGCGACCATCGTCCAAGTTTGTTTATTCAACTGGTACAAAGAGAAAATGTTGAAAGCAACCGTACCATTTCTTAATTGCATGGATTGGCCACGAGGACTTCCCTCTTGTGTTGGAAGAAGAATGGGGATGGAAACCTGATTTCATCCCAAAAACTAATGCACTCATAGCATAGCTCACATAATGGAATCACCCAGTGTTTGGTCACATTATCAAAAGGAAGAGATCATTGGCTTACAAGATCATTCGCTTGGAGGAACGTAACAAACTCATGACTTCATTAGTTGGTGAACATGATACTTGCAACATTCTTGAACAAACATTTTGGGATTAGTGGCTTCTCTAGTTTTAGAAATCTCGAGCAACGTGGTTGGCGAAGGGTAGAAACACCCACTAATTCCACCTTTCCACTCTTAAGATGAGGAAGTTCAACAGGATATTGGGGCATAAAAAGGGAAAACGAGAGATGGATGTTCAACAAATAGACTATCTTGAACCATGTAGTGGATTATTTGAGAGACTATGCAGTATAAGAGGGAGCTATGCCCCATTTACTAGCAGTGTTCTAACAATTATGCGGGTGGAGTCGGTGGACACACTATTCTATTAATGATCTCATTTCTCTAGTGGAGGTGTGGGTAGCAATCAAAGGTACGGAGGGTGTGTTCAAAGCGTCGAGCAAAGAAATATACTTGTCAATGTTTTACCAAAAATGTTGGTGTGTTGTGGGTGTCTCTTTCTCCCAGTTGTCAGAGATAATTTTACTAACCAAGTCTTGATCGAATGTGTTAGTGAAATAGTCCTTACTCTGATCCATGGGAAGGAAATCTCGAAGCTTATTACTCAATTTTGTCCTATAGGGCTTTGCAGTGTAGCTTATAAGACTCTAGTGAAGTGTATTGTCAATCATATCAAAACATTGATGAGGACTCTAGTTTACCCCACTGGCAAGCTTAGTATTGTATCATCATATTGGGCAGTATCATTATTCTTGAAGAGGTCCTGCTATCAATGGACTTGAAGAAAGGTCGAAGGGGTCAAGTGGTGGTGAAGATTAACTTAGTTAAGGCTTACAACCACATGAAATCGGAATTTTTCTGGAGACACTAGTAGCAACATCTTTTTCAGACAAGCTCTTTACATTCATCATGTAATGACATTTCCATTGCCTCTATGCATGTGCTATGGAACGGAACATGCACCAAGGCATTCAACCCATCATGAGGACTCCGTCAAGGTTGTCCATTATCATCGTGCATATTCACTCTATGGATGGAATGGCTTAGCCACACCATTTTTGGGAACTCTCTTGGGGAGCTTGGAAATTGATCTGCAGTTCTCAAGGTGGCCATAAACATTCTCATTTATCGAGAAGCAAAGAGAGGTTATTACAGGCACGAACGTGATGCCAAAGTTTGAGTTATATCCTCCTACGACATTGAGGCTTATACGAACGAGGTGACTATAAATTTTGACTAGTGCATTATACGTCAATGGTCAGATCCATGAGATTATCTCACTTCCTGTGGCTGGAGAACATCCTTATCAACACGAAATGCCGACAATTACACCTGACTAGTTCACCCACTTGCAGGTACTGCCACAGGTCACTAGAAACAATCATGCATGTGTTTTTAACATTTCTATATCATGTCTGGCATGGATAAGTTTTTTGGAGATTGCCATGGACAATGATAGACTCATACATACGTGTCATCTGCCCATAAGAATGGAGGTGTAGATCTCCTTACAGCCGCCACCACTCGAGTGGGTCTCTCTCAAGTCTGACGACTCCGTTCATGTTGCATTAGGTCATGCTACTATTGGTAGCCTTATTAAGATCACGCTACAGTTGGACTCAAAGTGTTCATTGTCATGCATCAATCATCCAGCATTTTTGGGAGCTACTCTTCTAGGTCTTGAAAGTCTCGATTGACCATAATTATCAGGAGGGCAATAAGTGCGCAGATTTCTTAGCTGGTCAAGGTCATATGTTATCAATGGAGTTTTATGGTCTCTCACAACCTGATCTTGTATTTGCTTATTGGCTTTTGTATAACGTTTAGGAAATTTTCGAACACCGGTTTGTCATGAATGAATGCTAGAATGCACTGCAATAAATGGATGTATTTGTAAATTTGAACTTTTAACTACCAATGATGTCTCTAGTTATTATTATGTTATTATTTAAAAGTTAGGATTTTTTTTTTTAACTATGAAATGAAAGGAGGGGGAGAGTAAACAAAGACGCGGGGGGGATTCGAACGTAGTGTTCGGGAGATTGTCTCCTTATTGGTCTCCGATCCTGTGGACAAGTTTTTGTCTTATTGTTGCCTTCTTTTTATGACCCCAAAATTCTCACTCCACTGCGCCCTTAAGGGTTTTCTTTCTCAGTTGAAAAAGTCGCATCTCATCACGTTTCACATTACTAAAGTAACAACAATAATCATGCCGGATCACCATGGAAACTAAACTAAACAAACTATTAATCAACTTTCACCCAATCGATAGGTTTACTTAATTTGGGTACTTTGTATGTTGCCCCAAAACTTGTTCTATCTCGCAGCCAAGGGAATATTGACAGTCATAATCCAGCCATTAAGGAGGGAAAGAAGAAAGGGAGCACACAATTAAGTGGAAATTAAATACATAACATGTGGAGATGGGTCATGTGGTAATGTTTAGGATTAATAATAATGATTGGAAGTTGGAAAACTATCACTCTAAGTAATAATCATCTCATTAGATGCACTTCTCCATTATTAGTTTCTGTTGTTTGACTAATTTGACCCGATCAACAATCTTAGTTCAACAAGGATTTCAAATCCGCCAAGAATACTCTTGTCAACCAAGTAAACAGATTCGAACACGAATCATTTCATATGCTTATTTGAACATCTCTCCAAACATAACTTGTAAGGTTCTCTTGACGATAAGTAATAATCTCTAAAATCATATAAACAATATGTGATTCGTGATTCAAGCAACACGTAATTGCTACCAATTAATAAGTCACAAATTCCAAACAATGAATTCGTACATTGGGAAGATCATAAGGACACCTCAATTGCCTGAGCTCTATGGACAATAATGATACTGAAGAATGGTGATTTCCATCATTTACACGAAATCATCATCATCTTGCCCCGCTGCAACACAAGGAGATGATCTTTTACCGGAAAAGGCAAGCTTGGACCTGAGCTCAGTATTTTCGATTCCGTTTAATGGAGTTCGTGATCGTTTCAGCGTTGCTCTTTGCATAGGTTTGAGTGTGGTGGATGATGGAGAATCCGTACAAGGCGAGCCAAATTGCCTCGGCTTGGCGAATTGATTGGACTTTGAAGACTTGGCCTCATTTCGATTTTCCTTGTTGTCGAACTGGAACTTTGGGGTTGGGGTTGCCGGTTCAACTGGTACAAGCTTCCCATCCACTTGGTTGGTGAAAACAAAAGAAATCTGCAACAGAGTGGAACAATCATTTCTTTTTCTTTCTACTCAATGTGGAATCTCATGAGATTCTTCCACAAGAGAACCATTAGAACTTGATTTGGAAACTGAAGGGTGGAAATGCAGATTCGCGCACCTCATCACCAGCAGAAGCTTGAAGTATAGAATCAGGAACAGAAGTAGAGTGAAAATGATGGCCCCAGCTGCCCAAATCCTCTTCCAGGGGAGTCCCTACCTATGGTATGAGAACCAAATACAGGACAAAACAAGTTGAGAGTTGCAAAGCAAAGTCAATATACCTTTACGACTTTAGGATATGAACCAACCTGCTTTTCTGAAGCCTTCAACTTCAGGCATCCTGAGATCCTGGCAAATCCACCAATATCAGACACTTCTTGACCGGACTCGGTATTATTATCCGATTTGTCTCCATTTTCTACGTTCTCTGGCTCAGCAGCGTGCAACTGGCAGCGGAGGCAGTTCATCTTTTCATGAATCTCCGACCTAGACAAAAGAATGGTTACAATGTGGTATAAGCGCATAAAGATGACGAAAAGATGTAAATCACAAATGATGCACATAAATCGAGCTGAAGTGACACCAATGTAAGATCTGCATTCGACTTTGTTGTTTATCAAGTGTTGAAGATGCTTTTCTGTCATCTGCATGTCAGATAATTACCTGACATTCTCATGGAATGTGAACAGATCGCGTAAATCATCCGTAGAAAGAAGGTTACCCTACAATTAAATGTCGCTGCATAAGTAGCATGCTCACAGAGCAAACTCCCATAAAAACATTGAAATAGCAAGAAATAGAGATGAACCTGTGCTGCACTGCTATCATTATGCTCATTCTGGATAACCTTTTGGAGACCTTCCTTTGACATTTGGCGCTGATACACCTAGAATGTATGCAGTTGTAATACTGCTTAGTGACAGCTTGTAAAAGTATGGGGAACGTGCGAACTGTGTTGTTAACTCATCAGACCTTTTCTTCAATGGTTCCTGTACTGAGAAATCTGTAAATATATACTCTCTTCTTTTGTCCATCCCGCCAGACTCTGGCAGCAGCCTATATGTCAAACGAACAGAATTTGGCCAAAGATAAGATCTCAGGAAATAGATAAGCAGCACAACCTTTCGGTTATAGTAACGAGATCAGTATGAACATTGTACTTGTTTGTCATTGGCAGGGTTCCAGTCCGGATCAAATAAGACAAGCCGATTGCCGCCTATCAAATTGAGCCCACAGCCGCCAGCTTTGCTGCTTAAGAGAAAAGCAAATTCGTCCTGCATTAAATTTGGTTAAAAGTTATAAAATGTCAGTTACCGACTCTCTATAACTAGTCAGAAGTACAGAATACAGCCTTTAGAAATGAGAAAGAAACCTGTTCAGCACCTTTGATTGATCATTGAAACGATTGACCAACTTTTGTCTTTTGCTGATCGAAGTGGTTCCATCAAGGCGTAAGAGTGGGTATCTTCTTTCACGGCACAATTGAGCGAAAAGGTCCAGCGTCTGATGGGTGTATAAAATCATTATTACATGACAAAGTACAAACAATTTCTGGATAAAGAAACTGCGATGGAAGACTTGAAGTAATGAGTCTAGTTTCCAACAGAGCATGAATCAAAATAGCATTTAACAGGTTCAAACAGCTAATGCTATCTAACAAGAGATACGGAAATCAGAAATATGGTCTTTAGTAAATACATCTTTTGATAAAGCTGTAACCTTCGCATCTATTATGCAGGCTGCATCCTGCTTACTACCTCAGAAACACTAAATGACACACAGCCTTAACTGTTGAAATCTGCTGTAAATGTTATAGAAACATATTCAATAATCTGCATGCACTGGATTATATGATAATGCAAGCAGGAAATGGGGAATCGCAAATTCAGATAGCCACGAATCTGAAATTACCTGAGTGTAATTTGATACTAAGACAATTCTATCATCAGTTCTCTGACGTAAATGTGCCAATAAGCGAGCCAAGACATGCATTTTACCAGACAGCTCGACCCAAGAACCGTCACCACCACTCCAAGACCCAGATCTAGCATAAAAGGAATGAAGAAAATATTTACATCAAGGACTGATATCAAGATAACTACAAAGCAGGAAAAGTATGTACAAACTACAAACATATCACCACACACTATGTACTTTTATAATTTATGCCCCCTCTTACAATTACGCATAATAAGGTCCTGGGAGATTGCCCACCAGAATTCAACTTTGTCCAATTACCTTCCGGAGAACATTGATGGAGGGAAAAAGCGAATACAATCCTCAAAACCTGAAGTCCCAGGACTTCCAGTCTTTATAGTATCATAGATGAGCTGCATATAAAACCATCTTTCATGAGAAGTAGCTTGATTGCTTCGACACAGATGAGACTAGGCATGTAAGGATGATGAAAATGAACGTAGCAACGATTGTTATTCGAAGAGTAAACATGTATATTGCGTATAAACTCCTGAACAATTCGTACCTTCGGATGATTGCAGAGCTTCTTCAGAGCTGTAATGTACGCCAGAATCTTGGATTTTTTTGCATCTTCGGTAATTGCACGTTTAACCTGGCAGAGTAATAATAATATAGCAGATACTGAAAAAATGCAGGCACCATAACTTTTTATGCATAAATTGTATCACCAGATAAGCTTGAACACTTACATTTTTTGAGTGAATAAAATGGTTGTATAGTTCTGACTGGAGAGGAGTCAATTTGCAGCAAACAACTTCCACTATCTGCAAAAAAAGCCAAAACTTCAGTACTAATAAATCCAAAGGCTAAGGAAAAAGTAATTTCCAGAAATTATCTGAGAAAATATTTCAAGCAAACATAGGATAGGTTTCAACTTCAGCTGAAACAGAAATTATCAAAATGGCAATAAACTAGATGCAAAAGTTAATAACCCGATTTCTCAAACAAAACACAAAAAATTATGCTGGGGTTGTACCTTCGGTGGTAGGTGATTTGACAACAGGGCATTGGTCCTTCTCAATATGAACTGCATTATATATTTTCAACCAAAACGTCAGAAATTGGAAAAAGAAAACAATATGTTTCGTGATCAAATGTTCTCTGAGGGAGTCATTATGATAATGTAATTACAAAGCCAAAAGAGCAGTCAATTAGTTGAGGGCTACCTTAGTCCAAATATTACCTGATTTACTTTGGCACTTAGTTCTGCAGAGCGCTCAACACCTAGGTTCCTCTCATCATCAGTGGCCGTTGGCTCCCTTCCAGATATTATTGGTGCCTTCAATACAATGCATTGGTTATATACACGCAAACTAATAAAAAAGATAAGATGAGGCGGAGAAGAAAAATGTACCCATTATTCATTAACCAACACACAGAGATTAACTAGCGACCTGGTTAATGAACTTAAGAAATCAATCTATGTTCTTTCCTTTCCTGTGAAGGACGGTGAATGATGAAACTATTCTATGCTATGAATCCGTATTGATTTATCCAAGGATCACAAGGTCTTGCCTCATACAAAACTGCTTCAGTGGCTAGTTCACATTCAGTATTAACGTAAGTTCCACTATGCCACATTGGCACCAGTTAATGAGTAAATGGTCCATTAAAGTGTGCATCTATGATGAACGAGAAAAGTCGTAAGCCAAGTCATTAAGTATATGATATTTGTTCCATTAAGCATTCATACTAAAAGATATAGCAGGAATATGATTCAGCTTTAAAATCATCTTACCTCATAATAACGACGAAAATATGCTGCATCCCCCAAGATCCCCGGATTAGTGAAATTAACCATTGCAAAAAACTCTTCCAGGTCATTCTGCACAGTCGTGACAAATACACAGAAAAGTTTAGTCATGACAAGTAAAAATTCAGGAAAGTATAATAAAAAAGTTATGGAGTGCCTTTCACAATTCACCTGCATTGGTGTTCCTGATAATAGAATGCGACGCTTGCAGGAGAGAGCTGCCAATGCCTGTACAAATGTTCATAACATAGTTCAGGAGAGATGCTTGAAGATGAAGACCTTCCAACAAGATAGACACATAAAAGAAAAGAACAATCTCATTTCTTACCCGATTAGTTAACGTCTGATCATTCTTCAGCCTGTGTGCCTCATCACATATCAGAAGGTCACAAGATCCCTCATGGTTAAATCTTGAAGAATGCAGCCGAAACGTCTCATATGAAACAATTAGGACCTGTGGAGAAGTGGCTATGCAGTTAATTGAGTAAATTTTACACTACACTTCAGATATTTTCATTCAAATTAGTCACCTGAGAAGAGCTGAAAGAATTTGCAAAAGTATTGATTCCAGATACAACGTCATCTCTGGTGCTTTCACATAGAGCAATGAGCTTAATTCTCTCTCCAATCCACTTTTTTATCTCAGCTTCCCAATTACTCACAAGACTGGTAGGAGTGCAGATTATTGCTTTTTTAACCATTGGCTTCCCATCAAATCCTTGACAAAGAAGAGTATACAACAAAGTGATCGATTGCAGTGTTTTCCCTAAACTGCAAAATTATGACAGCATAACACCAATGCTTTAGAAAATGGATCAATTGCCAGTTCACAACTAGAGCTGTTAAGAAAAGAAATACCCACCCCATATCATCTGCGAGAATGCAACCATTAATGTTGGCAGCACTATTCAGTCCTGCAACACACTCAAACATGAACTGAACCCCTTCTCTGCACAGCAGGTCCACAACATTGACAATTCAGACAGTGAAAGCAGCATAAATAAACAAGCTCTAAATAGCCCTAAAATGATTGTTTATCCAGTCAAGTAACCATACAGTTCTGTCTAGAATAAAAAGAACTTAAAATCCTAAGGGAACTCTATGTTCTATACATCAGAATTAGCTCTCCGTTGTTTCAAAACAGAAAAAGAAGTCAGCTCTCGGAGCTTTTTTGTAGGAACAATACCTTTGATGGGGCCGAAGGAATTGAACGAGCAAAGGATCCACCATTATTGGTGGCAAATCAATGGCTCCATCTTCCGGTTCTGGAGGCTGCCACAGGATTAAAGGTTCAATCCCTGGTGGCAAACTCATGGATTCCGCCTCAGTATCATTTTCAACACTCTCTGGCACACTGACTCTACTTATGTTAGGAATCGGCAAAGGTTTAGAAGAACCCCAGGGGACGAAACGTTTACGCGCCAAGAAACGGCGTCTAAGCTCTTCATTGCTACAATATCCACTCGAACAAGGAGGCTTAAAGGGTTGCCTACAAACGGCTGCCCCTTCCGTCACGGAAAGAACTCGAGGAAGCAGCGACTGCCTTTTCACAACTAGGTTCCCCCTGTCGCATCATTATATGAGGTTTTGTTAGCTATTGAACTAAAATGGAAACGGAATCACAGAAATCAGACCGTTTACTGCAAACACCAAACCCTAACTCCGGTTGTCCGGAACTTCAATTTTAAGATCAAATTCAGCTAGCTATGAGACTGAGAAACATATAAGACTTACCTAACGAGAGAGTCCACATTCTTCGATTTCGTATCTACGTCGGGCAGCGCAGCTCGTTCTCCGCGTGGCTTCAGTACAAATTCCTCTCCCGGATGTTCTTCGCCGTCGCCGATATACTCGTCGCTTGAATCAGTTGGATCGGAGCTTGAGAGCGCCTCATCGTCGCTGTCATCGAAATCTGTTGATGTTTCTGTTGTCGCTTGCTCTTCGTCTTTTTCGTCTTCTTTCATCGGAGACTGGCCTGGAGAGCTCAGTTTCTGACTGCGAGAGCGGGGAGAGCGGGGAGAATAAGGAATTACAGACCAATTAGATTTTGGCGGGTTATTGATATTTGATTGGATCGGAAATTTTGTTGGCAAATACCATTATGAAACCCCAACTTTGAAAATGTGTGGTCAACTGGTCATGGTAAAATGACAATTTTGTTCCAATTGAAAAACGGTATCATACTAGCAATTCAATCAAAAAATCTTATATCGGAGACTAAATTGGTAGGCAGTATGGAATGGTCGAACCAAAGTTAAACCACGATTTTAGTTAAATTATCATATTGCTAACTTTTTCGGTGCAACCTCCACTACAGTTTTACAATCATTGTTCCAAACTATAAGCGGCCTCCCTCCAATGAGAGCAAAGGTAAAAACAATATATTTTTCTTCACAGTTATTTATTTCTTTCTTATTCACAGAAAACAATACATTAACCATGGTCTCTTTAGACAAAGCCTATGAATTATTACCAATTATACTAAGTAAATTTGTTATATCTTTCTAAATTAAAAACTTTTCATAAGTATGTTTATAAGAAAAAATAACTTTTCATAAGTATTAATTTGATATTTGGATTTTCATATTTGGATTATTTTAATTCAAGTTGAATAGTTAATTTCATTTTTATCTATCTTATAAATGGAGGATAATTTTAAAATTGCAACCCAAATATCATAAGTTCAAATTTTTCATACTGAATTTCAGTATTGAATGTGTAAAGCAATGAAGAACTCTTAACTCAATATAATTTTTAGAACTGCCATAAAGCAACGATATTTTTGTGGAAACTAATGCCAACAATCTTTTGAAAGCTTTAGTTATGTTAACCGCTAAACCTTATATCTCGTATAAATAATATGATGTGATTAGACCCATGGATAAGTTTAAAAAATACAATTTCTAAAACACAAATTTTAATTCACTTATTTTTTTTATATATCTTTTAGAGTAATTAATCATATGTATCATTCATAGTTATTTGGTTTAATACGAACTAACCATAGTAAAAGAAGAAGTTTGACGAGAATTTTCATGAACGAATTGATGTGTTTATATGCATTAGCAATGGCCAGTGTATGTGCCACAAAAGAAGTTTAATTTTACTTGCTAAGATAATAAGATTGGCATTCAACTAAATTTCTAGTATGCATGTACACATCTCTTATCTCTTACAGTCTTACTATATATTATGGTTTTCAAAAGCAACTTTTTGACACAGAAAGCACTTGGAGAATTCACATGTTGTCAAGGTGAACAATTTTTTTACAAACAAAAAAGTTAGTTAACGATATATTTATAGAGTTATCTCTTTCTTCTTTTAATGATTTTTTTTACCTTTTATTCAATAATTTATTTTTGTTTTTGTATTATATCTGTAGTAATAAGTTAACGATTTCACCCTGTATATGGTTCAGGCTAGCGTACGTCAGTCTTACATTGTACGCCCGTCGAGTTTTACTATTTAGAGTAGGAATTTACCGAAATTTTGGGCATGATACTATACCCTAACCTCTAATGGATAAACCCCAGTCCCTAATTCTCTAACCCAAGCCACGAGATTCATTTAATCTAAAAAATAATAACCGACGGTTCTGATTCAAAGAAATATATTGAAGTGCAAAACCCAAGTGTGAACACAGACGTACAGCGTACATCCGGGCGTACGCTAACCTAGCATACGCCCCATTGAGTTTTGCTATATAGATAATGAATTAATCGGAGTTTGGGGCATGATACTATACCCTAACCTCTAATGGGTGAACCCCAGTCCCTAATTTTCTAACTCAAACCATGAGGTTCGTTTAATCTTAAAATTAAAACCAATGAAAATTTCGACGAATCAGAATCGTTGATTTTCATTTTTAAGATTAAACGAATCTCATGCTTTGGGTTAGTGAATTGGGGACTGGGATTCACCCATTAGGGGTTAGAGTATAGTATCTGTTAGACCAAGCTAGGTCAATAAAGGATACTTTTGACGTGGTCAATGCACAAATTAATTCAGATTTCAATAGTGAGAGATTAGCACTAGCTTGATTGAGCAATCCAAAAGGACTTGCCAAGAATCTCTCCTGAAGTGATTAACTTGTTGGCACTGATGAATAGAACAAAGTTTAGAGGAGGTATAGAGAGAGAGAGAGAGAGAGAGAGAGAGAGAGAGAGAGAGAGAGAGAGAGAGATGAGTCGGGACACGCGATTTTAACGTGGTTCGGCCAATATGGCTTTACATCCACGTCCCGGAGATAGTTACCACTATCTCACGAGAGACTCTAACTTTTATTGAAATAAAAGACTCTCTAACCTATGAAATTGAAATAACCTTGACACTTCGTGTCAAGAATCAAATAGGTGCAAATCCACACCTATTCAACCCTTAGCTAAATCCAAGCTAAGCTACCTACTCAATCAATCAAGGCAACACTCTTAGTTTGACTTGATTGGAGAGTAATTCACCTAGTGCAACTCCCAAGCAAGAATCCCCTCTTGCTCTTGCACTAGTCCCAATTACAAATACCCTTCCTACCCTAAAACCTGACCTAGCTTGAATATCTCAACCCCCGAGTTATCAAGCTATTCACACCACGAAAAATGATCACACACTTTTGCTATTACAAGGGAGAAGAGAGATTTGCAAAAAGGTGTCTTGGCCTAAAAATGACTCTACTATTTATAGTTGATGTGAGCCTTCATTTCCTTTCATTTGTAGTCCTTTATGTGGCAAGTATCTCCTTGATTTGATACCTTTTTGCTTGATATGGTAACTTCTTTGAGGGCAAGCAATCACTTTGAATTGTTTCCTTTTTCCTCATCATTGTTTGTGATATTTTCTGCATAGATTGTTAGTTCCACATAATAACATATATTTAAAACAAAATATCCTATGACATTCAATTTGCTGAATCAAGCTTGTTAACTCAAAATTCTCCCCCTAAGCTTGATTTAGCATCCTGTTACTGCATATGCTTAATTCATCATTAAGCTCAAGATTAAAGGATAGCAGTCATTATATCTCTCATTCATCCTATGCCACAGATTATTAAGAAAACAAATTACTTCATTCATCCTGAGCATAGCTCAGGGCATTATTCAATCAAAACACTCAACAACGCAAATAAGAGGCATGATTTGATACTCCCCCTGACTCAATCTAGACCTTAAAAGCAACAATTCAAATAAGCCATTTAAAACAGCAACATCAACAACTAACAACTCGAAACCCAAACTCCCCCTAAACCCAAGCTCCCCCTAAATTAAGGCAATTAATTGTTTTGCTCAAGATCATGATTCTCATAGAGAACCACTCCTTGAGAAGGTTTTTGATTATTGAGACGCTTGAGAACTCTGTTAGAAGGGCGAGGTCCTTTCGCCTGTCGCTTGAGCTTGAAGGGACGGACAGAAGTCGAAGCAGATGCACCACGATCCGCGGACGCCTCGTCTTTGGCCTCTTCGCCTCTTTCTGCGTCCGTGGCCACATGACCATGATCATCTCCCCCTGATGATAAATCAACAATGGGAGGAAGCCAAATATATATAGGCAAAGCCTGCCGCCTTCTGCCAGAAGGTCATAAGGGATTGGGGGAAGGAAATTATACGATGAAGGAACCATTAAGGAAATTGGTATCATAGAGTCGGAGAGAAGACAGAAAAAGGGAAGGACCGACTCGCCTATTGGAAAAAGAAAGAAGAGGAAAGCCGAGTGGGAATCAATGAAGAGAAGAGGCGAGCGGCAAGAATCGCCAAGAATCGCGCGACAATTATTGGGCGAGGAAGTCGAGCGGCAAGAATCGATGATCGGCGAAGAAAGAGAAAGACGACCGCCGAGAATAGCTGAGTCGCGCGCAGCAGAGAGGTGTCGTTTTGGCGAAGCTTTGGTCCCTCTCTTTTTTTTATTCTTTTTTTTTATAATGTAGTTGTTTAATTACCCCGTCCCTCTTTTTTTTAATGTTAAATGTATATAGATATATAGACAATGAAGAAAACAAACACTCAAGAAAAAGAAGATCAGGATCCAAAATTAGCAAGATCGGATTAGAAAATCATTCCTAACTCACTACGAATAAATAGAAATTGATCTATAGGAAGTGGTTTAGTGAAAATATCCGCTAGTTGCTCACTTATAGGTATGAAGGAGATAGACACGGTTTTACTCTGAACTAGCTCTCGAAGAAAATGATACTTAATCTCTATATGTTTTGTCCTAGAGTGTTGAACCGGGTTTTTGGAGATATTAATAGCACTCGTATTGTCACACAAAATGGGAATGGTAGGAACTATAATCCCATAATCCGCTAGTTGAGTTCTTAACCATAGAAGTTGTTGATAACAACTTCCTGCGGCAATATACTCAGCCTCAACAGTGGAGAGAGCTACGGAGTGTTGTTTTTTACTAAACCACGAAACTAAGGACCGACCATAAAATTGACAGGTTCCAGAGGTACTTTTTTCTATCTATTCTACTACCGGCAAAGTCTGAATCGCTAAATCCCATAAGCTCGGGGTTTGTTTCCCTAGGGTACCATAGACCTAGAGTAGGTGTACCTTTCAGATAACGAAAGATGCGCTTAACGACACTGAGGTGACTTTCCTTAGGTTTGGACTGAAACCGAGCACACATACAAACGCTAAACATAATGTCTGGCCTACTTGCTATGAGATAGAGAAGCGATCCTATCATCCCATGGTATTTATGTTCATCAACATCTATACCACCTTCATCCTTGTCTAATTGGATATTGGTAGCCATTGGGGTTGGACTAGGATTAAGATTACCAAGATTAAACTTGGTCATCATGGACTGGGTATAGTTCGTCTGACTAATGAAGATTCCTTTTGAAGTTTGTTGGATTTGAAGACCTAGGAAGTAAGTAAGCTCACCCATCATGCTCATTTCAAAATTTTGTTGCATAGAAGAGGCAAACTCTACACACATAGCTTCATTAGTAGCACCGAAAACTATGTCATCAACATAAATTTGAACAACCATAAGATCATTGTTATGTTTTTTTAGGAATAAAGTTGTATCAATAGAGCCCCTAACAAATCCTTCA